GATTTAATATATCAAAACATATTGAATGCAAAAATTTAGTGGGTAAGAGTCGTCATCATCACTTACCGGGTAAGACTCTCCATCATTCTCATTGCCCTTCCCCGGTAAGATTCTTGACCCTCCTCATGTTCATCCGATGAGGAAATTTATCCGGTAAGTACTTATCAAGTAAGTGTTTAGTAAACGGCCCCTTAGATCTGTTTGTACTTTTCAAAACTGCCTATTACTTCTTCGGTTCTCTTATTCATTCTCATAGTTCACCAATCTTCTTCCCCTCCCATTGTAAGATGTGGCACTTGGAAGTGACATCATGAGAAATGGGATGCTAAAAAGGTAAATTTTCTGAAAATTTCATTAGGCAAGCAAGTAGCCCGCATAGTCAAACAAACTAAAGATCCCACGAATAAATGATTTTGCTGACCTATATCCCTCCCCATCCCATTAATTTTAAAAAAGAACAGCCTACAAATGCAACATGCAATGTAAACACAGTAACAGGACAATGACCATATGTCAATCCGACAATGACCAGACATAAGAAAACTCATATACCTTTGAATACAATGGCTCGTACAGTTTCTGGTATTTCAATTCCAATGTTCCTCTCTCTGCAAATGATAAAACATCATAAGCCTTTAGACATTTGCAAATGATAAAACACTTCCACTCTATGTTTCTAACATAGAGTGGAAGTGTTGTTTTTTACCTAAGGAACTTTTTACATTTGGAACAAAAAGATGAAAGCTCAATATGTCCAGAACTTGACACTACATGTCCGGTACCTGATAAGTAAAAGGTAGTCGTTAGCCTTTAGACTTACACAATTTGGTATTCATAATGCTCAATATCTCTTGCCTCATTTACAAGACCTACCTAAGCTTATATTGTCATATGCTAGAAGTATTAAAGTAAATCTATAGTAGTAGCAGTAAGTGAATGTACCTCTTGTCTAGTGTAGGTGCTGTCTGTGATGAAACAGAAGTCCTCAACACATGGAGAACTAATTTTTTCGTACTTCCTTAAATAATCAGATAGATATACCATTAGATTCTAGGAAGATAAAAAAAATACTCAAATCAACTGTATAATGAATAAAGTTTTCCTACGGGTTCCGTCACCTTTTTCCAAAAATACCAACTGTATAATAAGATGGACGCAAGTGAAAGTGGAGGGAATATATAGAGGGGACAATGTTATTGGAACACACACAAAACATATTTTGATAATTTCAGGAATCTTTTAACTTTTAAGTAGACAGAAGTGAAATATCAATGTAGAAGCCATTTTCAATGAAAATAACTTAACTAAAAAACCACCAAAATCATGCATTGTACTTCAAACGACATTGGAAATCTGTTTGTAAAATTGAGATGTTTTTCTTAACTAAAATCCGGCTCCATCAAAAGGAGAATTAAGAATCCAAAGATTTGATGTACCAGTTGAAAAATATTATGAAGGCCTTTATCCGGTTCGTTTATCTTTTGTTTTCTAGTTTATTGTTTTTGAAATTCTAATGAATATATTGTGTCTGCTACGGAGATATAAACTGCATCTATGTACAACATCCATCTGATCAGACAAACAGACTTATAAAAAATAGAATTGAAAGAGAATAATACCTTATTGCAGCCAGGAACAAGTTATTGAAGCAGTTTCATTCTCTCGCTGATCCTTTCTCTCCGAACCTAAATGGAATGGATGAAATCAAACCCCTATGAATTTGATCATTCTAAAAAGTTTGTAATGGAAATGGACAATACTTGTTTATACCATTTCTGCAAGGCTGTGACTGTTTGTAGTCTGACCTCTTTTGGCTCTCATATGAATGTAGTTGTTGTCTTTAGTAGGACCTCCTCCTCCACTATCAATAGAATTCTCTTTTGCTTGTTTTTCCATTTGATTCCCCCTTCAATTGGCTTCAATTCTCTGTTTCTTTTCATCATTTCTTTCTTCTCTTTTACCATTCTACAACCAATCAAGAACCAACAAACTTGTCAAAACACATTCAAAAAAATTTAAATTTCTGCAATAAAATAGAGGGATACATACAGTAATGGGGTTGAATTGAGGATGAGGGGATTTTCTTTTGTCTCTGCTATTAGGTGATGAAGAACCCCACATTCAGGATTAAGGTTACCAAAGGGATTCACCTTTTATGAGAAACTGCCACTTCCAAAAGACCCAACTTTTATGAGAACATTTGGAGCAATGAGAGTTGTCTTGGGAAGATAATCTTCTCAGAGGAGTGTGAATGTAGCACTGTTAACTTGTACATGAGGCATAAATTATTGTTTTTAAGACTTTATGCATAAAGAAGTAGCATCATCTTATGCATTGAAGATTGTTTTTGAGACTATCATTTTACGGACTTATCATTTTTTTTGTATGGAATACGGTGTAATTAATTTACGTTTTTACTTTCCAACCTATGAAAATACAACAAATTTGTTGAACCGAATACATACGGCTGAAACAGGACTGATACTTAATACCTAAATGGCTGATTTCTTACATTTATACATTCTTCATTTGTGTTGATATCCATATATTTAATGAGACTGAAGGCAAAAATGCCATTAAATTACCCAAAATCGACCCAATAGACCTAAGATCATAGTATGTTCTTATCATTAATGAATCGAAACCCAGTAAGAAAAAAAGGAATATTTGACATCGACCCAGTTACGACTGCAACACAATTACGATTGTTCATCAACAAAAGTCGAAATGGTTTTACCTTCAACAAGAAATTACAAAAACCCTACCTGCTGTGTGTCTTATCTTCAATGAATCGGAACCCTGCAAAAATATGAGAAAAATAGATTACCTCCTCTGTTTGAAGTTTGTTGAGGATGACATACGCTAATAGATTGAAAATATGGATGAAATATATATGCATCTCTGTTGGAACCGATGAAATCGAATTTGGGTTTGGGTTTTCATCAAAGTCTGTTGGCGATGAAATCGATTTGGGTTTAGGGATAGGAGAGAGTTTTGAGATGAGATCGATTTTGGGGGAATTTGGGTTAGCGATTTCATCACAATCTGTTGGCGATGGTTTAGGGATAGGAGAGATTTGATAAATCGAATTTGGGTTAGGGATTTCATCAAAGTCTGTTATACGGATTTAGGGAGATTGGCGATGGTTTAGGGATAGGAGAGATTTTGAGATGAAATCGAATTTGGGTTAGGGATTTCACCAAAATCGGTTGAATTAGGTTTAGGGATTGATAGTATGCTTTAGTCGGTTGTACTTAAAGCAATAAAAGTTGTTTTTAAGAGTTTAAGAGATTAAGAGTTTAAGAGTTTTAGCCAAATGCATTATAAGATAGTATAGATATATATATATATATAACACTTAATTCTAAACTAAAATTTTATTTATTTTTTATTCTTATTAGATATTTAATTAGTAATTAATGCATCAATTATTTGATTCATATCGCATTTATTTTTAAACAAATAAATAATTTCATTTTGTGAATCATATTTGAACGACGTAATGAAAGTAGAAATAATGATGACGATACTTTCAATCATTTAATGCCATTATTTGATATCAAATTAATATTTTACCAATATTATTTAAAGCGTTAGGTTTTTCTTGTATAATTTTTTAATATTTTATGATTTTAATGAAAAAATAAATACAAACATATGATAATTATACCTATTTTTACTTGCTTTTTTATATCATTTAAATTATTAGTTTGTATTTTTTTCACACTTTTAAAAAATTGCACGAATTTACAAAAATATCCATTTTATCTTTATATCATATTGAATTTAGTAAAAAGGTTGATGACGTTGTCCAAATAACAAAAGAGGTTCTGGATTCGGTCTTATGGTATTGCATTGATTTATAAATAGACATGATTGTATTTGAAATAGATCTTATCTGCACACACACACACATATATATATATATATATGTATATGTATATATTTAAACGTATTTATTAATTGTTTTTTATAAATCATACATATGAAATTATAGAAAATAACAAGTGCATGATTGTAAATTAAGAATTTAAATTTATAAATAAAAACAATATCTAGTGCGTAAAACTTATAAATAATATATATTAAGAGAAAAGTTTGGGTGTAAATTGATTATTTAGGTTTGAATCAGAGGACAAAAAGAGTGACACATGTTTCTCGGGTGCTTACATTCATTATGAATGATGAAAATCTATTATTAATGAATAATAACACAATATTCATGATGAACCTGAATAATAATACAACATTCATGATAAATAACGATCATTAATGATGTATAATAATTTATACCTCATTAATGATGAATATCATATAATTTCATTATAAATAACTCGTGAATATACGAGACACGTGAGGGTATCTCCAACAGACCCCAAAATTTTTCTAAAATAGAAAACTAAAAGTCAAAATAAAAAAAAAATGCATGCATTTTCAACAGTTTCTCCAAAATTTCTCAAAAATGAAGAAACAAAAGTTAAATTTTTTTAAAAATCGCATTCATTTCCGATAGATTTCTCATTTTAGATAATCTAACATTGATTATAATATTAAAATATTATTTATCTCTCTAAAATTTTATTTTCAAAGTTTTATATTGGTGAAAATATATTAAAAGATATTTCTCTCGATAATAATTTTTTTGTCATATTTAGAAAGAAAAACTTTTATATTTCTTACTTTCTTTATTTTGGAGATAATTTTAGAGAATCTGTTGAAACAAAAAATGGATTTTTTCTTTATTTTAGAGAATCTGTTAGAAATAATATGACACACTCTCATTTGTCTTTCAGTTCACAGCCTAAAATTGGTTTGAAACCAAACTGTCGTGTGTTAATAGTATCTCTAACAAATTCGTCAAAATGGAGAAGTAAGATGTCAATATCTCCAAAAAAGTTACTTTAATCTCTATCAAAATTTTTATTTTACAGTTTATTATATTAATTATATTTTTAAAATATCCAATACATTTCATAAAAATATTATTTTTTTAAACGTTTATTTTCAACAATTTCACTGATAGAATAAATAAAAAATTATTTCTCTTTCATAAATAATAAATTTTAAAAAATTATTCAAATTTAGCCTTTTTAAAAAAACTTTGGAGAATTTATTAAAGGAAAATCTTTAAAAATGTAATTTAAAAAATTGAAAAATACATTTGGTCGACACGTGTCACTGAGTCATCGAAGTACCACAGACACTCCGTCCAACCTGGTTTCACCTTATCAGTTTTCGAGACTTTAATCAACACGTGCTGCCCTACCTCTTTAACGGCGGAATTGCTTCCCTTTCTCTCTCTCACACACTAACACCCTCACTGTGTGTCTCCGATCAAACCCCCATATTTCAACCAAAAACAAATCAGTAATTGTTTTCCCCTTTCAATTCACCCACGAAATGAATTGGATTTAATGGTGTATTTCTTATATACACACCAACGTCCAAATCAACAGAGACCCCTACCTCCATTTCATCAAATTATTCACACAAATCTCCATCTGTTTATGGGTTTTTGAGCTTTAGTGTTAGTAAAAGGGCTTGGTTGTGAAACGATTCAATTTGATCGATGGGGGCGATGACGTCGTCCGTGGCGGCGAAGTTCGCGTTTTTTCCGCCGAATCCGCCGTCGTACAGGGTGGTGATGGATGAATCGGGTGGTGGTGGGAAGTGGAGGATGACGGATGTGTCTGAAAGGGATAACGTCGATGTTTTGAAGCTGAAGACAAAAAGGGGGACGGAGATTGTGGCGGCGTATGTGAAGAATCCGGTGGCGTCGCTGACGGTGCTTTATTCTCACGGCAACGCCGCTGATCTGGGTCAGATGTATGAATTGTTCTGTGAACTCAGCCTTCATCTTCGAGTTAATTTAATGGGGTTAGTCTTAATTCACCATATGATCTTTACAGTTTTAATGGTTAAATTGTTATCATAATCTGCAATTATAGAACAGTAATTGTTATAAGTAATCTGGTTGAGCTGTCTCTGATTGAGATCTGAATCATTTGGGTGTTTGATTTTGGGAATATTGAATGGATCATTCTCAGGTTTTCCATTAGTGTTTTTTAAGCTGAATTCTTTAAGATGATGTAAAAACCTAGTGATTTTGATAGAAATTGCTCGAAATTGTGTTCGGTTCTATCGATCTCAAAAGTTCGATCTTTTGAAACAAGATGATTGATGGTTGAAGTTCTGTAGCAGCATAACCCTTTCCCGTTGTGTTATGCAACAAAATCGGCTTTATAGGACGTCATAAATGTCCAGATGCTTTAATAGACTGTTTTATAGGGCTTTAGTTTATGAAACCAAACAATTATGTGTTTTATATAAAAGTGTTACGACACGATGTTATGTCGTATTTGGGTATTTTAACAAGTTTTTAGGACATTTTTGAAATGAATATTCATTTTAACTTTTTTATAGGACACTTTTGAGAAAGTAACATTGTCTTTTTTACTAGACGCTTGTTTATTGCAATTTCTTTTTTCAAATGTCATATAAAAAGACTGATATGACACATATTTTTAAAATTACGCCAAAAAAATTGTTGGCATGCCTAAAAGGATTGTACCGACTTATTTTGACACCTTTATACAGGACACATAATTGTTTGGTTTTCTAAACTTAGGTCCTATAAAAGAGTCTATTAACACATTGAGGGCTTGTTTGTTAGCAGCTTAATGAGACACAAAGCTTATGCGATCAACTATACACGACTCTTTGGTAGTAGCTTGATGATATAGAAAGTTGCTTATTCAGTAAGCTTCTAGGGGAGCCTTATGCAGAAACCCAAGTTTTTCCCAAATTAAAAACACACTCCTTTCACCAAACCAAACAAAAACTTTTACGATCTATACGGACGGATTAATCCACACAAGCGACTTTATCCATCGAGGACTTGGTGGAAACCAACCAAACAGCCCGTTAGACATATTCGACATCTTGTAAAGCCGATCTTTTAATAGCGTGTGTATTTATTTACCTTTGTAGTTGGATTTCTTATCCTATAAGCATGGCAATTCAGCTCAATTTCATAATAGAAATTGTTGATTTTGGGCAGGTATGACTACACCGGATACGGGCAGTCTTCAGGCAAGGTATGATGGTCTGAAATAAACCGAAAATCTGCTGGATTTCGATATTGATTTGCTAAATTATGAACGTTTGATCATCTCTTATAGCCAAGTGAGCAGAATACGTATGCCGATATAGAAGCTGCATATAGATGTCTTGAACAGACTTATGGTGTGAAAGAAGAAGACATGATCTTATACGGTCAATCTGTTGGTAGTGGACCGACCCTAGATTTGGCATCACGTTTATCGAGATTACGGGCCGTTGTGCTTCACAGCCCGATTCTATCTGGACTTAGAGTCATGTATCCTGTGAAACGAACGTATTGGTTCGACATATACAAGGTGGGTCTTTTTCGTCAATATTATGTTTTTGGAAGTTACGAAAGGGTCATTTGCCCAACGGTATCTGGGTTACCGGTAGTTTCCAACGTCCATGGAGGTCAAAGGGTTCAAACCTCACCAAAGGTGGTTGTCGTGTGTGTATATATTATATATATGTATATGTACACTCTCTAAATGTTACAATAATGAAACAAGTCTTTATACTGTTTATTTCTGTTTATTAGATCATCATAATCATCATCATCCGTTTTACCGATTTTCTTGTGATGCAGAACATTGACAAGATACCGTCGGTCCGGTGTCCTGTTCTGGTTATTCATGTAGGTGCTCGTATCCCTGTTTTTGGGCTTGTTTAAATTTATTAAAACAAACGTTACGCTACCAGGAGGCTACAGTGTATCGAGCCCCTAGATTGTGTTAGACCCCGACTCTGATGCCATGTTAGAGGGGAGGTTCCTATATATATATATATATATGTATATATATACATATGTAATTGATGGTCATTGTTATCTTTTGTTATTGCAGGGAACCGATGATGATGTTGTAGACTATTCTCACGGTAAGCAGCTTTGGGAGCTTTGTGTAGAAAAGTACGAACCCTTATGGATCAAAGGCGGCAATCACTGCGATCTAGAGCTGTACCCGGAGTACATAAGGCACCTTAAGAAGTTCATATCGGCTGTCGAGAAATCCGCGCGTTTGAAAATATTGTCGGGATCGTTAACGGATAACGATACGATACCCCGGATTAGTATAGATTGTAGAGAGAAACCGAGGCCGAGCACAGACCTGCAGGACCACTCGAGGCCCAGTAGCGACTGCCAAGAGAAGCCGAGACCAAGCACGAGCACGGATTATAGAGAAAAATCAAGATCCAGTGTTGACAGACGAGAAAAGTCAAAGAAGAATTTGGAACACGACGAGAAGTCAACAAACGCCTCTGACCAACCCGAGAAAGCAAGAAACAGCATTGATCGGTCCGGTTAGCTTTATCTAATTTAAATTAAATTAATTCCTTGCACTGCAATAAAGTTGGCTTTATAGGACGTAAGATATGTATGAATGTCCTGATAGACTGTTTTATAGGACCAAACAATTATGGGTTCTATATTGAAGTGTTATAATAGGATTTTGGATGTATTTGGGCATCCTAACAAATTTTTAACGACATTTTTGAAATAAAGTGTCTTATTGGCTTTTTTATATGACACTTTTGAGAACTGTCTTATAAACACTTGGTTTTATAATACACTTTCTCCAATAATGTCATTAAAAAGACTAAAGGGACGGGTTTTTTAATTTTTTTTTTGTTAGGATGTCTAAAAACGTCATATCAACTTATTGTCCTGTAAACTTAAGTCCTATTAAGCAGTCTATTTGTGTCCTATAAAACCGATAACGTTGCCGTGTTACGAATGGCTAGATTCCGTGTGTTGAACGTTTGAAACAAACATGGCAGGTTTGGAGACATGATGAGAGCAGCGGTGTTGTGCAATATCAATTGTTTCAGGCCGACAGGAGCAACGGGGGTCGAGGGATTGTGAAACGTGAAGGCGACTCAAGTGAGGTTGTCTGTTTACTTCTATTCTTTCGATTGGTTATTTGAATCTCGGTGTTGTTTTATTCCACAAATTGATTTTAAATCGGCAGATGTATCTTTATAGATTCTGTCGAAACAAATAATCGTTGCCGCGTAGTTAGAATTATATGCGTGTCTGTGATTATAGTTACGCAATTAGATTCACGTTATCTTGAACGATAATTAGTAGTACTGATATTCGATTGTGATATAGAATATGGGTTTTCTCGAGTACTTGATGTTCTTGAAATCTTGGAAGGTTTAAGCGCGCCCGCTGGATGCAAACATGGAGGACAAAAGGTATGCTTAAACCCTAAACCCTAGAGTTAAGGGCTGGTTGATTGGTTTTCCATCAAGTCTTATATGAGTAAAGTTGTCTATGTGAATTGATTCGTCTGTATTAGATTGGGAGGGTTTTTCACAGATGTAATGAGCATGTGTTTTAATTAGGAAAGGCAAGTTTGTAACAAAAACTGTTATAAACTTGTCTTTCCGCATATAGCTCCCCTTAAGAATCTTACTGAATAAGCCACTTTCTATATTATTAAGCCACTATTAAACAGTCATGTCCGAATAGGTTGTGGGTCCCATCAATGCTAACAAACATACCCTTAGACGGTTGATGTTTATCTGTGCAAAGAAGCGGTGGGTTTAGTGTCGTATTTTTATGATACCGAAGTTAGGTTCGAGTTGCAAGATGTCGGGTGTCATTTTAGGAGCTAGTTGAAGTTGTGGCGTTTTCGGTTTTGCTTTTGGCTCGCATTTGAGATCGTATGTTGATTGCATTTGCAGGTTAAAGAGATTGATCGTTGTTTGAATGGAGGTACCATTGTTTCGAATGATGCTATATTTGCAACTCGGAATTGTGAATGTATATGAACTTTTTTATGGTTAAATTAAAATTCAATGCGGAATGTTTGACTATTAATCAAATATCGTTTTTAATGAAATTAAGAAAACTTGGGGGGTGTTTGGTTGAAGATGTTAACCAGTAACTGATTGAGTTGAAAAATAAAAAGAACTGTTTTGTTTTATGTGATATGATAACTTATTTTTCCATTAGTCCAAATTTTCATTCTAGGTTAAACTAGGGGAATGAAATTTCCATTTCCATTTTTTTTTTCATTTTCATTCGCTGTCTGAACAAATACAGTTTATTATTGTGCATTTGGTAATAAATTATAAAGTAGACTATAATTTTTCGTCTGTATGGTTTTTGAAGTATTGCAAATTTCAAACATGTGTTTTTGAAATTACAATTTTCATTGACGACGTTTATAATTTGTTGTTTTTATTCCTGAGGTTAACTCTATTGGTGGTTTATCTTTAAGTATGAGAGGTGGAAACATCAATAAGTTATATATTACGGGGACTATAAAGACAATAAATTGTAAACCACAAGTAGGGGTGTTCAAAAACCCGATCAACCCAACCCAACCCAATGCGAAATAACTCAACCCGATGTTTGATCGAGTTGTAAAATTTCAAACTGTAGGTATTGGATTGATATTGGGTTACTATTATTTGAACCCAACCCGATGAACCCGATATCCTTTTATTTATTGGATTTAATATGATTGTTGAATTTCTATTAACATATAGATTAGACAATTACACTATTATGTATGTTTTTCATATACACATATTTTCAATCTATTCATATATATATATATATGTTCAGTAACTGTGAACATATATATGTAAATTGATAAAATTAACTGAATGTGATATACGTAAGAAATATGGATAAGTTGTATCAAATGGTCGATGATGAAAAAGAAATTATGAATAGAGAAATAACATATTTAAGGTTAGAAGAAGAATATTTTAATATATTAAAGTATCAATCCGACCAACCCGTACGGGTTGGGTTGGGTTGCACTTTGGTTTGGGTTGGGTTTGATTAAGATTTTTCCAAACCGAAACCATTGGGTTGGGTTGTTCAAATATCTTCAACCTAATCAACCCAACCCATAAACACTTTTAACCACAACGATAAAAACTGTAATTTAATAAACTTAGTTTTAAAAAAGCAATTTTTAATATTTCTTTTTGCAATTTCAATCCATTTTTGGTTATTTATACAATACAAGTCCTTTTTGTTGACAAATGTTAAATTCTTTTGAACATTCAAGGGTAAATTTGGTAAGTCATATAAACATTAGATTTTTCCTTTTCTTATCAGTTTAATATTTGATAAAGGAGCCATCGGCTCCCTCGATATTAATCTTTTTTTTTTTTGAAAAATACAAGAACACTAATAATACAGTGTGGGTAACTAAGTTATATAGTATATACATTGTCATTTTGTAAACCTTAATAACATAAGCAGAAGATATAAATATTGGTTGATTATGATTTTTTTGAACAAAATCAGTGTTAAAAAACACAATTTTGCCTTGAGACCTAAATAAACACCATTGAGCTAACCATCTCATAACTTGATTCATATTTGACTAACGTACTTTCAAAATTTTCATTTTTGTATCCAAGATGTAAAATTTTAAACATTTAAGTATTCGGTTGAAGTATTAACCGGTTATCATGTTGATGTGGTATCCAACTCAGTATTATTTGCTGATATGGTTAGTGACATAATTTTTTTTAAATCTAAAATTAGTCTTTTTTTTTAATTTAAAATTAGTTTTCAACCGGTTTATTCGAGTACTTAGACGTTTAAAGCTTTACATCTTAGGTACCAAAATAAAAGTTTTGAAAGTACGTTACAAAAAATAAGAATAAAGTGTACTTTTTATACAAAATGAGACCAAATATTATGTGTATGCTACTTTAATTCCTTAAATGTAAATAAAAGTACCTAAACATTTAAATTTTTGACATCTAAAATACCAAACTAAATACTTTAATAAAATATTATGTAAAATAAAAATCAAACAAAATAGCATGGTAGCTTAGTAGACAAACGTCAAGTCAAGGGTACGAGTGATTTTGTCCAAATACAAGACATGTTTCGAAATACACGTTTAATCTCGGACGCTTGTATTAACCTTAGCAGTTGAGTGAGTCAAATAAACATCCCTTTATATTAGTTTCTTTAAAACGAATCTAAATCGGTTGAAATTACTGATAATCAACTTTTTATAAAAAAAAAAAATATGAACGAATTTGTAGGTTTTCATGCGATTTGCATAAAATAAAAATGGTGTTTCCTGGTCGTTTTGAAAAGGTCGGTTCGATAATCGATACTACCGCAGCTCCTACAAGGTTTATGGAGGGTTTTAACCTGGTCTTCCGTCCAAACCCTCTTGTGTTCTTCAATCAATTCATGTATACAATAAATTACTTCCCCAATTACTAACAATCCACTCGTTCTTTCATCTATTTTCTTACAAAAATCATCTCCAAGTTACAGTTTGATGTTCAGCACTCAATCCCAAACTCTATTGGGTTTATCACTTGATCAATCCCACTTTCCCCAAATTACTTCCAAACCCACAACAGTTTTCCGGTTAGATTCATCGAAGCAACCAAAAATTATGTTTCGAAACATCTCTCGACGACTCTCTTCAAGAATCCCACCAACTTCTTCCCTAAATTCGCACTCATTTCGTTGCAAGTTTAGTAGTTTTTGGGGGTATTCCGGAAACGCAGTTCGTTCCGAGAAATTAGCGTTTAAACCTATGGATTTCGATTGTTCTTCGTCAATTAAATCACACCCAGAAAGAAATCTATTCGAAATAGGTCAAATTTTGACTACAGACGGAGGTATTGGGAGGGGAAATCGTATTGGTTTCAGTTTCAATTTCAACGAGTTGTGTGCAAAAGGATATGCTAGTATGGCGGAAGCTGTTGCTTCTTCATCCACGGATGCAGATGAGGACGTTAATGGCGGTGATGAGGTTCAAAAATTGCTGACTGAAATGTGGAAACAAGAAAGAAGACAAGCTACTAGGGGTTGGTGGCGGCAAAAGAGGGCAAAAACCGGCAGCAGTTGGAATTATCTGAAACTTAAACGACGGCAAGTGAAGATTGAAACAGAGGCATGGGAACAAGCTGCTAATGAGTACAAGGAGCTTTTGAGTGATATGTGTGAAAAGAATTTAGCACCAAATTTGCCATATATGAAGTCATTGTTTCTTGGGTGGTTTGAGCCATTGTGTAAAAGGATTGGTGAAGATCAAGAATTGTGTAGAAAAGGGAAGCATAAGGCCGCATATGCACCTTATTTTGATTTGCTTCCAGCTGATAAGATGGCTGTAATCACAATGCATAAGATGATGGGATTAATAATGACAGGTGGGGAGAATGGTTGTGCTAGAGTTGTATCAGCTTCGTGCAGTGTGGGTGAAGCGATTGAACAGGAGGTGTGAGAACTTTCTTCATTAACATTTTGATTTGATGTTGGTTTTCTTTTTTGTGAAGTAGTATTTGGGGAATGTTTGGTGACTTTGAGGTAGGCGGTAGCTTAGGGTTTGTTTGTTAGTAGCTTAATGAGCTTAATGGGACTCATGGTAGTGGCTTAATGATGTAGAAAGTGGCTTATTTAGGAAGCTTGTATGGGGAGTTTTATGCAGAAAGCCAAGTTTTTTTAAACCTACCATTCCCAATTAAAAAACATGTTCCTTCCATTTATGAAAAAATCCTCCGAAACAAAAACCTTTTCAGTCTATATAGACAGATTAATCCACATAGACGACTTTATCCATATAGGACTTGATGGACTACGAACCAAACAGCCCCTTAGTTTTTGAGCTTATTAAAAAATCCCCGTTTGGTATGTTGTTTAGGGTATCTCCAACGGTTCGCCAAGAATGCCATTTTGCAGGCTTGGAAACTCCAACCAGTCGGCAAAAAGAAATGGCGTATTTGTGTTCCTGTTCAGGCGGCGTATATGTGGTGTGGTTGGAGATGAAGCAACTTTTGGTTATATGGCCCCACCAAGTTTGCTGCTTTTTTAATGCTAGGGTTGGAGATGGTCTTATAAGCTAATTTTTTTAAACCCTACTTCAAGTAGGGTTTCAACAAGCACCATGAGCTTTCAACAACCACCATACCCGTTTAGGGAGAAAAAAGGCACGGGCTTAGGGTTGAAAAGGGGCCTGATTGGGCTTTTTCAGGCCGGTTTTTTCGGGCCTTTTCATATATGTCTTTTCTGGGATGGGCCTAAGCTTGGAATTTTGGCCTTATCAGTCTTTGAGGCCTGACGCAGACCAGGCTTCGGGCTCTTTAGGCCCTGGCTTTTTCAGACCAGGCTTCGGGCTTGGGATTTTTTTTGCATCTCTATGCGGGTATGTGCTTGTTGTCCAACTTGGGAACTATAGTTACATATTCTCTCTAAAAGGTTAATGACATTTGGTGTATGTAAGAATTAAGGGTTAGAGAAGCAAAGTAGACTTCTTGATGTAGAAGTTTATATGCACTAAAATATAACTAATTGTAAGAACAAGTTGCAAACCATATTCACCGCTCTTTTTTATGATTATGATTCATCGTCTTAATGTAAACCCTCTTTTTAGTTTTTGATTTTCTATTGCTTTTGGTATTTATCAGATTAGGATACACAAATTCTTGGAGAAAACAAAGACAAAAAAAGCCGCTAAAGATGCAAAAACCGAAGAAAAAGTTCCCGACATTGATATCAAGGAACAAGAGGGATTACATAAGAAAGTTACCAACTTGATGAAAAAACAAAAGTTGCAGGTTGTAAGCCGCATTGTGAAGGATCACGATGATTCAAAACCATGGACGCAAGCTGTTAAAGCTCAGGTTTGCTTTGCTTAAAAGTAGCCTTTGGCTTAATGGTGCTAAAACCATTCTTGGATAGGGCCCTTTTGGTCATAGGTTCATACTGACACATTTCAACTGATCATATGCATATATGCATACATACATACATACATACATACATACGTACATACATACATAGAAGGGAGGTTAAAACGAGAACAGTGTGAAAATACGAGAATGGCCGGATCACATGTAATTTTGCACTAAAATCACACGCGTTAATGGAATAGGTCAATGCAAGGGCGTGCGGCGACTTGGCGCACGACTTAAGATGCACGTGAGTGTAGTGTAAAATCATATGTGAATAGGTCTTTCTCGTGCTTCTTTATTTGATCACTTTTCTTGTTTGAACCCAACCCTACATGCATACATAAGGGCAGGTTCAAAATGGGAGCCAACTATTCATGATGAAGAATGAAAATGCATTATATTCATGATGAATGATATTCATGAACATTTTGGGGTTATTCATCATGAAATAGTTGGTTCCCATTTTTTCAAAATATTCATGGTTTCCATTTGAATCTACCCTACGTACATAATACATAAATTGATGTGTCTCAATTTTTTTTTCAGGTGGGAAGTCGTCTGATTGAATTGCTTTTGCAGTCCGCTTATATACAGCCTCCAGCTGATCAATCGGGTGATATGCCACCTGATATTCGACCTGCGTTTGTGCACACATCTAGAACTTCCGTGAAAGGACAGTAAGGATTCATTCCCTCTTTTGCAAAACTCAAGTGCTTTGACTTATTTGACTCCAAATATCGGCTTTTTATTGAACAGAAGGACCGGAAGAAGATATGGTGTTATTGAATGCGATCCATCAGTGCGCAAAGGGCTAGAGAGATCTGTAAGCGTGCATATTTCTTCCATTTGGAGTATTCCTTTCTCTAACGGTTCTTTTATGTATACAATATCTGTGAGGGAGGTTCAAGGGAAAATACCCTAGAAAATGAAAACTAAGGAACATCCTGGTAACCGTTCACTTGTACGATATGCACATGTGTATACAAGTAACTGAAGTTGTTTCTTAGTTTCTATGCGCATATGCATACCTGACAATTGCTTACAAATTACTTGTATGCACATGTGCCTACCGTCTAAATGAACTTTTGTTGAAGTTTGAACCCTTGACCTTCTAGGAGGCTAGGCTCTACCACTAGGCTAATGACCCGTTGGTTGCTTACTGTTTGTTGGTGGAGTGAAGTTACAAGCGAATGGAAATATCTAGAATTTTCAAAAGCATGTTTTTTCTTTCTTTTGATGTAATTATTTAAACGTTTTTTCCCCTCTTATATGATGAAACAGTGCAGGCACGTGGTTATCCCTTATATGCCAATGTTGATACCTCCCGTCAAGTGGGCAGGGTATGATAATTCAATATCTTGAACCGGATACCATCATGTTACTCTCTCCGTTCTATGTTCCTTTTCTTGGCATCCATAAAGATGCCAATCTTTTTCTTGGTTAAGTTTTGAATACTCCCTCCATCTGAAAATAAGTGTTCACATTTCTATTTTAGTTTGTCTTAGAATAAGTGTCCACGTTTAAAAGTAAATGCCTACTTTACAATTTTGTTGTTTATGTGATGGTAAAATTCATTATCCCAACTATTATTTTAGAGTAAAATTGTCATTTTGTTAATTAAAATTGTAATGATTACACGTTTCTAAAACTATGTGCCTTTTTCATTATGGACATTTAGGGTCTGTTTGTTAGCAACTTAATGAGCTTAATGAACTCTCAACTTATTCGGTCAGAGATACATGACTGTTTGGTACTGGCTTAATGATATAGAGAGTGATTGTTCAGAAAGCCTCTAGGAGGAGCTTTATGCAGAAAGCCATGTTTTTTCCAAACCTACCCCTCCTAATTAAAAAACACGCTCCTTCCATATATGAAAAAATTCTTCCCAAACAAAAACCTTCCCAATCTTGTACGGACAAATTACTTCACACAGACAACTTTATCCATACAAGACTTAATGGAAAACCAACCAAACATTATTTTGGGGCGGAGGGAGGATGAAATTACTTCTTGGGAAAAAACCTTCCCAATCCTATACAAACAAATTTATCCACACTGACAACTTTATCCATACAGGACTTAATGGAAAACCAACTAAACAACCCTTTATTTTGGGACGGAGGGAGAATGAAATTACTTCTTAGGCCATGAAAGTACCCTATTTTCTCATTATTAATAGTTAAACTTTGTTTATATAAACTATGGTTCTGTCAAAAGTTTCAATTTTCATGGGACAGAGAGAGTATATGGTTTCAATAATTTATATTTATTTTCACTGTCCTTCAATAGCATATGCTATTTGCATTCTTTGAAGTATCTTTTGTTCGGTCTCCAGTTATGACAAAGGAGCTTACCTTTTCTTACCGTCCTCTATCATGCGCATTCATGGAGCGAAGCAACAACGTGAAGTGCTTAAGAGGACCCCGAAGGAGAATCTGCAGCCGGTTTTTGAAGTCTGCATTGATCCATAACTCATATGTTTTATTTTCCCTTTTCGTTTATATTTTTGCTTGATTGAATTTACCGGAATTGTGTGTTGACGTTGGGTTAGGCCTTGGACACCCTTGGAATTACTAAATGGAGGGTGAATAAAAGGGTACTAGCAGTGGTTGACAGAATATGGTCCGACGGTGGCTGCCTTGCTGGTTTGGTTGACCGCCATGATGTGAGTTGCTTACGACTTCATCACAGAGGATTTAGTGTGCGTTTGGTACGCAGACTGGACTGGACAAGACTGGATGGGCGAGAATGACGTAGGCGGGTTGAAAGAATTGTGCAAGGTTTTAGGGTTTAATTTGACATGCTTAGTTTGGTAATTTACCAATCTTCCATCTATTTTGGTGGGACAACGAAATGCATTTTTATCCCACTCAGTCATGTCCTGTCCTGGTCTAATGTCGCACCAAACGTGGGATAACAGTGTTTGTTCTGTACTATCGTGCGTACCAAACACATCCTTAATGAAAATGTTTTTATGAGTTCCGAGAGATAACTTGATATCACGTGCAGATTCCTTTGCCGGAGGAACCAGATACAGAAGATGAAGAACAACTGAAAAAGTGGAAATGGAAGGTTAAAAAGGTGAAGAAGGAGAACAAAGAGCGACATTCCCAACGCTGTGACATTGAGCTCAAACTAACTGTAAGATCACATTTTTTTACTTTTTTTAAAGTGTATATAGGGTCAGGTTTAGGGGAAAACCGCAAAAAAAATAAAAAACTGAGGAACACCCTGGTAAGCGTTCATCTGTACGGCAAAGAAACAGTTTCAGTTACTTGTATGCACATGTGCTTACTGTTTAGATGAACGGTTACCCGGGGGGTTCCTCATTTTTTACATTTTTTTTGGGGTTTTTCCCTTGAACCTCTCTCTCTACCTTAACTCCCATTCTCACACGATCCTTCGTCTCTCTCTCTATATATATATACATAGAAGGGATTTGGACCCTTGGATCACTTTTAATCCCCAAACAACCCATGAAGTGCGCTTTAGAAGGGAATTAATCTAGTGTATCTCATTTGTGTTTATCTATTGGTTCTCTTCAATTAGGATTGATCCAAGGGTGGAGATCCCTTCTCCCCATAACTTTCATCCTCACCGGAAGCCAACCCTATATATATATTTGGCAAAACTCACACGCTTCTCACATCTGGTGTGGTTTGAACCCTTGACCTCCAAGGAGGTTGGGATTTACCGATAACGTGGATGCCGTTGGGCCATTGATCTGAAGTAATATGAACTCTTTCCGGATGCTAGGTGGCGCGAAAGATGAGAGATGAAGCCGGGTTTTTCTACCCACACAACCTAGATTTCCGAGGCCGTGCGTACCCAATGCATCCATACTTGAACCATCTTGGCTCGGATCTTTGCAGGGGTATATTGGAGTTTGCAGAGGGACGACCTATCGGGAGTTCAGGCCTTCAATGGCTGAAGATACATTTGGCGAATCTATTTGCTGGTGGTGTCGACAAATTACCTCTTGACGGTAGAATAGCGTTCACTGAAAGTCACTTGCATGATATATTCGATTCTGCTGACCGACCACTTGATGGTGATCGCTGGTGGTTGAATGCTGAAGATCCGTTTCAGTGTTTGGCTGTTTGTATTCATCTTGCTGAAGCTTTGAGAAACCCGTCTCCGGAAACTACTATTTCTCATATTCCTGTGCACCAGGTGCACCATCGACCAACATGCATTTAAGTTTGTTACTCTCTCAGCCCCTGAAATAAGTGTCCACGTTTCTATTATAGTTTGTCTTGAAATAAGTTACTTTCCAATTCTACCCTTAGTTATGAAATGGAGAAGTTCGTTACTTCCTCTATTATTAAGGGTAAAATTGTTATTTGGTTGATTAAAAAGTTAATACTTACACATTTCTAAAACTATGTGCCTTTTTCATCATGGGAATTTATTTTGGGACGGAGAGAGTAATCTTTTTCATCATGGACATTTATTTTAGGGTTTTAAATATTATTTTTTTCCTTCGTGCTTTACAGGATGGTTCGTGCAATGGTTTACAACACTATGCTGCCCTTGGCAGAGACAAAGTAATGGCCCTTAGAAACAGACTAAAATTCTTCTACAAGCTGTCATTGTCATTTTTCATGGACAAGCATCTGCAATACACTCATACTTACATATATTTATATATACACACACATATAGTTGGAAGGTTCAAATCAGAATCATAAATATTTTGATAACCGGATAACTAATATATGCATTGATTCATATATACTATATGGATTTCAATGAGAACCTGCTCAAAGGCATATATACTTGCATATGTAGTACATAACTATATAGGGTTGGGTTCCAGTGAGAAGGGAAGTAATGGTGAGAAGCGTAAGAAAATAGAAAATATCTCCACCCTTGGATCAATCTTAATTGAATGTCAACACTAATGAGGTGCACCGAGATGCACCGGATCAATTCCCTTCTAAAGCGCAATTCATGGGTGGACATGAGATTAAAAGTGATCAAGCGTTCAGATCTCTTCTTATGCTTCTACTATAACTTCCCTTCTCACACGATCCTTCACCTAGCTACATATAAATTGATGAATATACTAATTGACAGATACATATTTTGATAGTGTATATGCATCAACATGTATATATAGACGAAGGATCTTGTGAGAATGGAAGTTATGTTGAGAAGCGTTGATCTGGACCCTTGATCACTTTTAATCTCACCTCCACCCCTTGAATTGCGCTTATCACGGCAAGTGATCTTGTGCATCTCGGTGCACCGCGTTAGTGTTGATCTTCAATTAGGATTAATCCAAAGGTGGAGATCCCTTCTCACCATAACCCAACCCTATATATAGTGAGGTTTAGGGGAAAACACCCAAAAAACCAAAAACTGAGGAACACCTCAATAACTGTTCGTTATGCACATGTGCATACAAGTAATTGAAGATGTTTATAGGTTTCTATGCATGTGTGAATGTTTTGCACATGTCCATACTGGAAAAGTTCCTCAGTTTTTCATTTTTTTCCCGGTGTTCCGCTGAACTTGATCTGATCCTATATGCATATGCACGTCCTCAAAATATTTATGGTTCTCATTTGAACTTTCTCATGTACATATATAGGGGCAGGTTCATTTGAGAATCATGAGAAGAAACTATTCATAATGAATATCTTGCTAAATATTCATGATGAAAATCATGAATATTCATCATAAATAGTTGGTTCTCAGGTTTTTTTTTAAATATTTATGGTTTCTAATGAACTTTCTCCTAAGTTATATATATATACATACACACATATAAGTATATGTATGTATGTGTGTGGATATATCTCAATACTTTCTGTTTATGAAGAAACTTAATCGGCTAATCTCTACTGACTACTTGAAACCCGTCTGATTGTTATTTTGGTAACATTTTTATTCAGCTAGGTGCATCGGCTGTCAATTTGGTCAAAGGAGAACGACCTGCTGATGTGTACTCGGGAATTGCTGCAAGGTGAGTTGTTTGTACTTCCATTATAGTAATGTGTTCGGATGCAAATCCCTCTTCGTCCGCAAGATTTGCTTCTCGATGAAGGAAACTTCTTGACATTCTCAAGTGATTCTAATTGCTCCATCTATCTCAAAATAAATGTCCACAGTGAAAACGGCACACAGTTATAGAAATGTGTAATTATTACATTTTTTAATTAACTAGATGACAATTTTACCCGTTAATAATAGAGAAAGAATGAATTCCTCCACGTCATAGTAAGGGTACAATTGCCCTCGGGTATGTAGCTTAGTTGGCAAAGGGGTGGAGCAACTTTGCTCAAATACACAACTGGTTCAAGTTCGAATCATGTGGGAGACAGTCTTGAAAGTTGAAACCCCTCCTCTAGCCTCAGCCGCTGAGTCAGCTCTGAAATGCCTCCTTAAATGTGGTTCCTGCCATGTGGAGCCAGTTGGGGTTGCTGGTAATCAACCTTTTGTTCAAATAATTGAGGGTAAAATTGGAAAGTAGGCACTTACTTTTGGAAATGGACACTTATTTTGGGGCAGAGCGAGCATTCTTTTTACTATTTGTGGGATGGAGATTGTTACCACGTTCTTATTATTTGCCAAAGATCCTTTTCTTGGAGCTGAACGAACGCTTAGCCATCTTTAAACCAGTTGGAGGTATGCTAAAAGTGAAACCAAAAGAAAGTATGAAATGGTGCTACCCGGAAGCAAAATAAATAAATTGGCGAACCATTTTGGGGTATTAAAAGATCGTCTTGAATGCAGAGTTCTTGATATCGTCAAGCGAGATGCACAATTGGATCCTGCTTCATATCCAGACGCGAAGCATGCACGGCTTTTGATCAATCAGGTTTGATGCTGTCAATAACCGCTTTTTGTGAATATCTATACGATACTCCCTCCGTCTCAAAAAATAAATGTCACATTGAAAAAGGCACAGTTTTAGAGATATATAACTATCACATGTTTTAATTAACTAAATGATAGTTTTACCCTTAATAATAAAGGGGAAAATGAATTTCTCCATCTTATAATTAAGGGTAGATTTGGAAAGTGGGCACCTACTTTAGAAAGTGGACACTTACTTTGGGACAAACTAAAATAGAAATGTGAGACACTTAATATATTGAAATAGAGGGAATTGACATATTGAGCCTTCCACTTGCATCTTTCATAGTATCCCATAAACTCTGTTTTTAATTATATAATATTTATACACGACAAATACTCACACACTCTGGGTGAGGTTTGAACTCTTGACTTCCGGGGATACTGTTGGGCTCTACCAGTAACCCTGGATACTGTTGGGCCAACGACCCATTGATAACCCTGTTTTCTTTTCTTGGTTTCACGTCCGCTAATTTCTTCAGTTTCCGGCTGGTTTTTTGTTTAAAACGCAACTGATATTCGTTTAGCATCCAGGTGGACAGGAAGCTGGTGAAGCAAACGGTAATGACGTCAGTTTATGGCGTCACTTACATCGGTGCTCGAGATCAGATAAAGAAGAGGTTGCAGGAACGTAGTAATATTGCCGATGATGCCGAGCTTTTTGGTGCAGCTTGTTATGCTGCAAAAGTAAGCACTTTTGTTGATTGCTAGGAAATTTTCTGTCCATACTCCGTCCCAAAATAAATGTCCATAACGAAAAAAGGCACACAGTTTTACACTTTTACTAAATGACAATTGTACCCTTAATAATAGAGGGAGTGATGAATTTCCATCTCATAATTAAGGGTAGAATTGGAAAGTACACACTTAGCGTGAACTATTTCTATCCACCGAACAATTTCAGTTGTAATAAGCCGTGTTATTGCCTCGACAGATCACTTTAGCTGCATTAGGGGAAATGTTTGAAGGTGCACGTAATATCATGAACTGGCTCGGAGACTGTGCAAAGGTTTGTCCATTTTTTTTTGCACCACCCATGTCTGCTCATTAACTTAACAGGAAAGTTTGGGTCTGCCCATTTTTTCGACGATGGTTGTCCAATCCCCCTTTTCTAGCAGGCCGAGTCTAATGGGCCTTCATGACCGTGAACAGATGTACTTAAAGATGAATTCCCAGAAATAGCTCTCGTGTGTTCAATATTTTCTTAGATTCTAGAATAAACGGCTTAAAAACAAGCCTTTGTTGGTAGTATTGTAACTTTTATTATATGTAACTTGTATGCCAGTTAATTGCCTCAGAGAATGAGCCAGTGCGGTGGACTACTCCACTCGGTCTTCCCGTTGTACAACCTTATCGCATGTATGGAAGACATCTTGTAAGTAGAAAATATTTCATGATTGTTGTCTTCTGACGTTTTCTTTTAAAGGATTTCCATCGGTTTTTTAGTGACGGAAATACATTTTGATTTCTTTGTTGTTTGTTGCAGGTTTCGACTTCTCTCCAAGTACTAACCCTGCAGCGTGAAACTGAAAAGGTATTTTTTTCGCTCTCATCAGTCGCAACTAACTTCACAACCCCCCCCCCCCCCCAATAAACGGGTGTTGGGCTCTACTGCGGGACCAGGAAAGTACAAAAAACTTCTTGCCCGTTTGGCGCAACGTGAGCCCCGAATAGGACTGGGGAGGTATTCAGGCTTAGGCTAGGAGGCACCTGCTCTATCGTTCTATCGCAATCGGGAAAAAAGTTAGGGTCTTTAATCTTTTATTATTTTATATTATGTTAATTATTTTGTAACCCTGCTCGGGAATTTTTCTAGTCCCGAGGACAAAAATGCATTTTTTTATTTCCCACCAGAACAAAAATTAGGGAGATGAGACAAGATTGGTAAATTACTATCCATGTCAAAACGTTAAACCCTAAAACCTTCCCCAGTTCTTTCATCTAACTGACTACCTGAGTCTTGCCCGTCAAGTCCCATCTGCTTACCAAACAAGGTTGTAATTTTTAAAACGAAATGATTGATATCGGCTTAATTGCTTGTAGGTGGTTTGTTAAGTCGGAATATTGTTGTTTGATTTATATAGGTGATGGTAAGGCGACAAAAAACAGCTTTTCCGCCAAATTTTGTTCACTCGCTCGATGGTTCACATATGATGATGACGGCAATCGCTTGTAAACGGGCGGGCTTGAATTTTGCAGGTCCTTATATACATTCTTCTCGAGTACACCCCTTGTACGTTTACAGTTTATCCTGAAACCATATAATTTACAGGTGTCCATGATTCGTATTGGACGCACGCTTGCAATGTGGACGAAATGAACAAAATTTTGAGGGAGAAGTTTGTTGAACTTTATCAAACGCCAATATTGGAAAACGTATGACATTCTCTTGTTTTTGCTTTATAGGGCGTCAAATATGTTTAAATGTCCTGATAGACTGCTTTATAGGACTTAAGTTTATAGGACCAAACAATTGTGGTTCCCATATAAAAGTGTTACAATAGGATGGTAGGATGATTTTGGGCATTCTAACAAGTTTTTTGGACACCTTTGTAATAAGGTGTTTTATATTAGTTTTTTTATAGGACATTATTGAGAAATGTCTGAGAAACACATCTTTTTATTGGCAAATAATGTCATAAAAAAGATGAATAAGATGTTTTATCTCAAAAGTGTTCTAAAAAAACTTGTTAGGTCGTCCAAGAACGTCCTATCAACTTATGGTAACGCTTTTACATAGGACGTATAATTGTTTGGTCTTATTAAGCAGTCCACTATGACATTTAGATGTTGTTTAGTTGGTTTTCTATTAAGTCCTTTATAAATAAAGTTGTATGTGTGGATTAATCTGTCTGTATAGATTGAGAAGGTTTTTGTTTAGGAGAGCTTTTTATAGATGGAAGGTGCCAGTTTTTTAATTGGAAGGGGGAGGTCTGGAAAAAACTTGGCTTTTTGCATAAAGATCTCCTTTAGACGCTTATTGAATAAGCCGCTTTTTATATCATCAAGCCACTAGCAAACAGTCGTGTATAGCCAACCAAATAAGCCATGTCCCGTTAAGCTCATTAAGCTGCTAACAAGTAGACACATGTTTGATGTCCTATAAAGCGATTTTGTTATACTGTTTGTTTCCATATTTGTCGATTTACCCAACTGTCATTTTGTTACAACAGTTGTTGGAAAGCTTTCAAAAGTCGTTCCCGACGTTATCCTTCCCGGCCTTGCCAGATAGGGGAGAGTTTGATCTTTCAGATGTTCTACAATCGTCTTATTTTTTCAACTGAAAAGATACCGAAAGCCGCTCCAGAATATATCCGTCATTCTTTCATTTGTGGGCCATTTTGTTGGTTGAGAACCTCCACGAGACTATTTTACGATTGCTAGAAAGAACAAATGTGAACCCATGAAGCCGGGTTCAGCATATATCGAGCATTACGGTTGTTTTCGGAGGTGCACACGTGGCTAAAGCTATTTTTAACATTGCTCGATTTGTATATATATTCTGTGTCCATTGATGTATAGTTTCGGAAGTAGACATAAACTCATGAAAGTATGTAAAAGACTGTTTCATGTCCCTGCTGATCCGTCCTAGCGTCAGAGGTGTAGGTGTAATCCATATTTGTGAGGTACTGGGTTCAAGCCCGGACCCTGCTGATTTTTGTCCTAGCGGTAGAGGTGTAGGTGTAATCTGTATGTGTGAGGTACTGGGCTCAAACCCGGGCCCCGTCCCTCTGCCAATGGGGTGGATATATGAATTACCTCCATGATGACTGGGGGACCGGTACAGCAGAGACGTTCTACCAGGTGGCAAATACTTTATTAAAATTTGAACTCATTGTAGCAATGTGGCGTCTGCTGGTTATAAGAAATTAAGAATCCATTAGTTAAAATTCTCTTTCATCTGTTATGATCTTGTGTTTTATGTGGAAATCTCATGCAAAAACCCGAAGATGATTCGGTTAAGTTAGAGCATCTATGAATACGGAAGTGTTCGTTCTTGAAATCACGAATTTTGTTTACGTTAAAAACATGTTACGGAAAATGTAAATGTTATGTACAGTGTAATTGGTTTCTGTATCGTGGTTAATTTTGGTGACGGATATTGCTTGATGATTGTCGATTGATGGTATATTGATGATGTAAGGGAAATACGACAAGCTGTTAAAACCATTCGAAGCGAATCATACAAACATATTTTTTAACCATTCTCGTACCACCAACGTTGTTCTTGCGGTTATTTCAAATGCGTTCTTCGAATGATTTACAAAAAGTTATGGTTTATCATATGTTATATTAAAGATTTTACCACTAAAAAAAGTTATGCTTTATCATATGTTATATTAAAGATTTTACCACTAAAAAGAGTAAACTACACCCTGTTGTTTAATGTTTATAATGATTTTCGTCATATCAGGAATGTTTATGTTTATGTTTATGTCTTAGAAAGCTGAATCAGGAATCGCCATATCAGCATGTTTATGTTTTATCATAACAGGGGAGAACAAGAAATATACAACTATATGCACAATTTTACGCATAATAATGATGGCTAAGGCTTTTAAAAATCAAACATCTGCAACATATTCTAATAAATCTCGTTCTATGTAGCATGCAAACCGCAAAAAAGGATGCTTAAAGATCGATGGTTAAGTGTGCAAGCTACGATGGTGAAGATGGTATTCGGTAAACAGACTGCACTTTTGATTCTAACAACGAAACATACTTATCGAGCATAGAAATCACAACTTCTAGATCAGTCACTTGTTGTTCTATAGCATCAATTTGTTGAACATACCCATCAAAATTCTCGCTTTTCGCCTTCAATCGTTCCACAAAAACCCTTAAACCTGAGGCAACATCACCAAACCCTTTATACTCATCGGCAACTTTGAGATTCATATTTTCCAACAATTTGAGGAGATTGTTTGTACCCTAGAGAAACATATAAACAGCTAGAATTTGTCATTCCTATTGTGCTAATTTGATGCTAATGAAAATAAGGTATGATTCAACTTTTAAGGTCAAGTTTATGACTTACAGAACTTGAAAGCAATATCAGGCTTATTTCTTTTGTGTGGTTATTGAGCCATATATTTGTGATGCATGTTAACAGGTTTTAATGCAGTTATAGTGTTTCTAAGTCACCAAAATTAGTTAAGTTTGTACGAATGTTAACAGGTTGTAACCATACCAGATATTGTCCGTTTTGTCCACATCTGGACTCATGGTTTTAAAAAGCTTCTGACAGAGGAGGTATCACATTCCCTTATATGGCAACCTTTGTTCCACTCCCAACCAATGTGACATCTTACAATCCCCCCTTGGGAGCCAGCGTCCTCGTTGGCATATCAGTTCAGTTACTTATACCATCCCAGGCTAACCCTAATAGATATTGTCTGCTTTGCCCACGTCTGGACTCACAGTTTCAAAATCGATAGAAGAGTATTGGAACAATTTCCCTCCCAACCAATGTAGGATCCAAGAATTATGCAGTTTATTTAAGTTTGTATGAATGTTCAAGTCTTCCTTTGTATTTTGATGAATTAGTTCTAAGTCACAGAATGCCATCACAACCGTAGGGAGAAGTAGGATGTGATACTAGACATCACGATTTCTAAAAAAGGGGGAAAGAAAAGTCGAAGCAAGTAGAAACGAAACCTGAAGATCGCCTTTAATCATGGAGGAAACATCAGTAAATAGATCGCTGAGAGCCTCAGTGAGTTCATCATGCTCCTGTGTCACCGTATTTTCAGCCATGGCTAAAAAATCCTGCACTTATAGTCGATACCTAGCACCATAATCCATCGTTAAGTAATTACTAAATCATCTGGTAACGTGTTTCGTATTTATCTACGCAAGACTGTTCATAATCAGCGTATTAGCATTCCATTTTCGGGCAATCAACGAATTAATCAGACTATCAGTTCTTCACAAGTAATACAGACTCAGATTTTACAACTAGCTGCGAAAATAACTATTTGCCGTATGAATTTCTCAAATCCCTAATAAATTGCTTCGAAAACAAACGCAATCAATTGAATTGTTAGACTAATAGACAATGAATCTATCGGTAGCAAAAGTTTCATAGAATTACCAGGAGAACGAGACGTCGGAGCTGCTGGAAATGACGGAGATGCTCGTCGGCGGCCGTGAGAAGACAGAGATCCGACAACACACGAGGGGTGTAAACTAGAAACGCTTTTTAATCTGCTTCTTTTATTTGTTACTGGGCCAAAGTAGATGGAGTTCCTCTTTTCTTTTTTTCTTTTAATAAGTTATTTTTATAAATTTCTTTATTATAATATTATAATTTCAGTTTTTCTTATTACAGTAATATACTTTTAAAATATCTTTTATTAGGTTATCATACATTTAAAAATTTATCTGTTATAACATTAAGTAACTTTTTAAATTAAATCTACCCATTATATCAAGTTTTTTTGTCACTCATCGTTCATGTAGAGTGTTCACATATACGATAGTGTTGAAATGATATTAAAATTACTTTATTATAACTTCATCAATTTCTATTACATCTTTGTACTTTTAATTTTAATATTTTTATTATTTTAACATTGTAAATTTAATCAAATATATTTACTAAAATTTATAATACCATAAATAAAAACATGTTTACAAAATATTACTATTTCACAAATAAAAAATATTCATAAATTTATCGAGCTCATCATAAAAGGTTCTCAATGCAATAACGAGTAAATTATTGAATATACGATAACCTAATAAATAATATTTTGAAAGTACATTGTTATAATAAAAAAAAACTGAAAGTGCAATGCTACAATACATAAATTTATAAAAGTAGGTTGTTATTTCGTGCATTTTGCTATAATTTAAATACCTTACACATACATAAATAAAAAAACTAATAAAATATCATTTCACATCAAGTTCAAGATATGAACCAAAGTTCTTATACAAAAACTACAAAAACGTGAGTAACTTAGAAGAATTCTCTCCAACGGTAGTTCTTAGATATCTTTTACTTTTTGTTTATAAGAACCTTTCATTGAAGATGCTCCTACTGTGTTTATAACTTGCATATTATGGGTCTTGTATTGATCATGTCATTACAGAGATAATGTCGACTTGAATAAGATAATTTTGAAGTATATAAAAATCCGATATATAAAAATTGGGATCGGTTACGACCTAAACTCAGTCTTATAATTTTTTGTTGGAATCGTGACCGAAATCGAAACCACACCACCCGATTTTGAAGGGATCGATTTGAGACCAGTTCGAGACCGATGTTTAACCATATCTACCCACCGATCGCCTCATTGAATCTATCCCAAAGACAGCCTGATACTCCACACTGAATGATGAAACCCAACATATGACCCCATTGAAATCATCCTGAAAACAATTTATTATACGCATCTTTATCCCGTTAGCTTATACGAATTTTCCTCTCACTGTAGCGTATATGGGATTATGGGTACTTCAATTACATATAGACAATAGAAAACATCGACAATGAACCACATTTACGTTGGCGATACGTAACAGGCGGATGTAAAATGCAATGATCATAACGGTAAGGTACAGATAGCTCCTACCTGAACCATGTGGCAATACAGTGAACCATACTATACACGTGACGTATCAAACCTATTTTCAAAAAGTGTACGTTTTAAATGGGAGCATGCCTGCTTATAAATCATGTATGGTACGGAGGATCGGTATTACGTATGTGTTACTTGTCGTGTGAAAAAAATAATCACCGAGTTGGTTTTCTTATTTAATATTAGACTTTTATGTTTAACATGACAACATGACGGAATGAAAAAAAGGTATTAAATGTGTTTTTACTACAACCAGTTTTTCTACACATGACTACGATACATGGCCAAATACAGCTACATATTATTGACTCCATGCAATTTGATTCTCAAATATAGCTGGCCTCATTTTCTGCACAAACGCGAATGCGATGCAAGAATGTCAAATTGGTCGATATTACACCAATAATAATAACAATATCACAAATGTTATTTTTTTGTTAATAACGTTAAAAATAAGTGAATACATCAATAATATTCAATATCAGTATCATTTTTTAAAGTTATTGATAAAAGTCTCTCTAATAATGTAATTTATTAGAAGAAACATGTACTGGGTTTTTCAAATTTAGAGAATTCTCCAAAAATGATTATGATTTTATTATATTCACACCAGTGAGAAATATAAAAAATTGGGTTTTTATCAGATCCTATGTTTCGTTAAATGTGAACATTGAGTTTTGTCTTGTCCTTCTTTCTTAGTGTCACATACCAAATGCAACTTAAGGGTATCTTCAATAGGTGTGTTATATTTTATCTCTGTTATTTCAAATTTGGAATTTTCTCCATTATTTTTCACTATTTTAAAAGAAAGTTTAACATAACTATTGGAACAATCTTTTCCAGATCTTCAAATCTTTCAAAACAATATAACTCTTGGAGAAGTTTTAAATAGTCTAATTAAAATTTTCATTAAACCATGTGTTGTCACATATCATTTCCTAGATATTTAAAAACCACACACATATATTTTTTTAATTATAAGGGTGATGTCTGATTGATTTGAGTTTGAACTCCAAAGGTTAAAAGTTCCTGGAGGTCTTAGCTTCAAATATGAGGAGGAATAAAAATCCTCTTGTAGCCACAGAGGTTCAAATACGGTGACTCCAAGATAACGCAAAACAAGTTGTTGTCCCGGGATTAATCGGCTCGCATAACGGGTTAAATATATAGATTAGTAAAAAAACACATATTTTTACAATCATATTAAACATATAAAATTTATCTTTATTTTATTAGATCAATTAATAATTACAATTTACTTAGGATAAAAATATTTATACTATATTATAAAGCATTTGACAAAAACTCTTAAAAACAATTTTTTATGCATGAAGTACTGTTTATTGATGCATATTTGATAAGCATGGTTTATTACATGCTTAAAGTACCTATTCCTTATATTTATTAGGGAGATTTTCATAGTTTATCCCAACCTTGAGTCATTTTTACTTCTTTATCTTCCATTTATTATGTTTGGAGCTAATTGTGATAATGGATCTGTTTTTACAACAAGTTGGAGTAGATAACAATTTTTTGGACTCAGTTTACTGCACTATAATGCTGCAGCATTCCAGCAGCATTGCCAGGCTGCGAATTGGCTTTTTGTGGGAGGTGCTTAATGGTTCAGCTGTGTCTTGGAGGAAGGTCTGAGTTGATTAAGCCCTCGATTTTGGACTATTTGCTGCTGATGTCAAGATGGAGAAAAGACTTTTTGGTTGACCCTTTTTGATGGAGAAGAAAGCCCCTTTTTAATGTCTTCTCTTATTGTACTTGTGTACTTGGTACTTGATTTATATTTTTTTGTCTTTTTCCTTCTTGGCTAGTATTTAAGGAGGCCTTTGGCCATTGTTTTGGTAATTCTCTTCCATACACAACTTGGACGAAAGTTGAGTCCAAGATTGTGCTCTCAAAAACTCTTCCATATTATTAATGTTATTCTAATCTTTTAAGTTTAATTATTGTTCTTCATTTCTTGTCTTTTAATTATTGTCATTTATTTTACGTCTTTACTTTCCGTTATTTACATTCTGTCATTTACATTTACGTCTTTACTTTCAGTTATTTACTTTCCGTCATTTACTTTCATGTATTTATATTACGTCATTTATTTACGTCATTTACTTTCGGTAATGAGTAGCTAATTTCWTTAGTTCGGGTGTAGGRTAAAKGGKGAAATGTTAAACCGAATGAAAGTGGACATTGTTTCGCAATAACAATGTTCCAMTATTTCATTCAAGTTTTATAAAACCAAGCACACTTCTTGACGGGTTGATCACTTTGAAAGTGTTAAAGTGCGGTGGACTTAGAAATAAGCCATCAACAAGCACGTCAACTTGAATGATATGAGAGGTAGACTTGAGAAAGTTGCCGACAAGGAGACTTGTCATTTATGTTTTTCAAAACTTAACTCCCGACGGGTTGGTCACTTGTCAAAAGTGTCAAAGTGTGATATATTCAGAGATGAAATATCAAGAACACGCCAACT